TTTGGGGCATAAATGTTCAGAATTGAGACTTCATCTTGGTGGATCTTTCCTGTGATGAGTATGTAATGCCCTTCTTGATCTCTTTTGATTGATTTTAGTTTGAAGTCTACTTTGCTGGATATCAGGATAGCTACACCCACTTGTTTCTTAAGACCGTTTGATTGGAAAGTCTTTTCCCAGCCTTTTATTTTTAGGTAGTATCTATCTTTGAATTTGAGATGTGTTTCTTGTATGCAGCAGAAAGATGGGTCCTGCTTTTGTATCCATTCTGTAAGCCTATGTCTTTTTATAGGTGAATTAAGTCCATTGATATTGAGGGATATTAATGACCAGTGATTGTTCATTCCTGTTATTTTGGGTGGTAATGTGTGTGTACTTCTCTTCATTGGGGTTTACTGCTGTGGCTTTATCTATTGCCTGTGTTTTCGAGGGTGTATCTGACTTCCTTAGGTTGGAATTTTCCTTCTAGTGCTTTCTGTAGGGCTGGGTTTGTGGATAAGTATTGTTTAAATCTGGCTTTGTCTTGGAATGTCTTGTTCACTCCATCTGTGATGATTGAAAGTTTCGCTGGGTATATTAGTCTAGGCTGGCATTCATGGTCTCTTAGTGTCTGCATTACATCTGTCCAGGTCCTTCTGGCTTTCAAAGTCTCCATTGGGAAATCGGGTGTTATTCTGATGGGTTTGCCTTTATAAGCACTTGGCCTTTTTCCTTTGCTGCTCTTAATATTCTTTCTTTATTCTGTATGTTTAGTTGTTTAATTATTATGTGGTGAGGGGACTTTTTTGGGGGGGTCTAGTCTGTTTGGTGTTCTATAGGCTTCTTGTATCTTCATAGGCATTTCCTTCTTTAAGTTGGGAAAGTTTTCTTCTATAATCTTGTTGAATATATTTTCTGTGCCCTTGAGTTGGTATTCTTCTCCTTCTTCTACCCCTATTATTCATAGGTTTGGTCTTTTCATGGTGTCCCAAATTTCTTGGACATTTTGGTTTATGACTTTGTTGACTTTAGTGTTTTCTTTGACTGATGAATCTATTTCTTCTACTGTATCTTCAATGCCAGGGATCCTCTCTTCCATCTCTTGCATTCTGTTGTTTATACTTGCATCTGAAGTTCCCGATCGTTTACTCAGATTTTCTATTTCCAGCATTCCCTCTGTTTGTGTCTTCTTCATTTTTTCTATTTCCCTTTTCAGGTCTTGGACTGTTTCCTTCACTTGTTTCATTGCTTTTTCTTGATTTTCTTTCAGGACTTTATTGTTTTCTTTCAGGACTTTATTGTTTTCTTCTAATTTGTTTGCCCTTTCCTCTAGTTGTTTAAGTGTTCTTCCCATTTTTTTGTCTTTTCCTCTACACAAGCCTCTACCTTCTTCACGGTGTCATTCATAAGTCTGTTTTCTTCTGCTTCTTCCAATTTTTGATGTTCAGGTCTAGATGTTGGAGGAGGGCTCAGTTCTGGTGATGCTGTATTGCTCTTCATTTTGTTGTATGTATTTCTGCCCTGACGTCTGCCCATCTCCTTGTGGTTCGTTCTTGGTCTTATCAGCGCACTTGGTTCAGACAGATCTGACATATTCAGGAAGTCTTTCTCTCTTGTCAAGATGGGAGCTCTCTTGTCCAAATGGGAACTCCAGGGCAGGATGGGAGCTCTTGTCCAGACGGGAAGTTTGGGGCAGGATGGGAGCTCTTGTCCAGAAGGAAAGTCCGGGGCAGGATGGGAGCTCTTGTCTCTCTCTCTCTCTCTGGTCCAGAAGGGATGTCGGGGCAGGATGGGAGCTGGGGGGCCCGCCTCTAAGTCTCAGGAAGTGGCTGGGGTCTCAGGCAGATGGGCGTGGGGGCAGGGCGTGGAGATTGCAGGGTCTGCCGGGGGTCTTGGAGAAGGGGATCCTTCCCGGTGGGGCTAGAAGGGGACCTGCCCGGTGACCAGAATCTGTGGCCAAGTTGGGCAGGTCTTCCCTGGAGTGGCTGGTGCCCAGGGATGGGGTCTGGACTGAGCCAGGACACTTACCTCTGGTCCAGAAGGAAAGTCCGGGGCAGGATCTGTTCCTGTTCTCTTTGTGTAGCACCCACAGAGAAATGAAGTCATTCGTTCCAGGATAGATCCCTGCATAGGCCATGGCTGTCTAGCTCTGTGTTCCCTTTACCACCATTTCAGCAGCATCCTCATCCTTCTAACAAATGTCACAATTACTGAATATTATCAGAACGGCCAAATCTAGAAATTCTGTCCAGTCTGTGTGTGGTGGCTTACATCTTTACTGATAGCACTTAGGAGGCAGAGGCAAGCTTATCTCTATGAGTTTGAAGCCAGCCTGGTCTACACTGTGAGACTCTTTTTGAAAAAAATAACTAAATGCTTTCTCCAATTAATAACAACTTTCATCAAAGCAGTGTTTTTCTTAAGGAATCGGTGATAAGTACAGGATATTTTCAAGTTCTAAAATATTCATCAGTTTCATTTATCATGTTTAAAGTCCACTTAATGTCATTTCACAATTGCCTAATGCTGACGGCCATGTCAAAGGAGCAGCAGATGGCAACTGACTTCAGGATATTGACCCATCCGGAAACAAAACCCTGATGGGTAAATGGGCATGGAGAGATCCCCACTGCCCTTAAGCCTGTATGATCATCTCTTGGAAATATCCCATGCTACTGGGCATTTTTACCTGTGGATTATTATGAGGATGAATTCCTCCTAAGCTGTACTGTTTAACTGAAACAATGATTTTATACAATAATAGTGTTAGTTTAAATAGGATTTTGATGATTGAGGGTCTTTAATAAATATAGTAAGGGATTATGATAGAGGTTAGTTTAGTGGAAAATTTAATATAGGTAAATGTAGGATACAATGTTGTCCCTGCCTCTGATAAACCAGAGGCTGCAGAGGATGAAAAATGAAACAAGGAAGTGTCACACAGCTAGAACACATGAGTTTCTATTGAGGAGCCTTATAGACTGTGGCTTAGGTTAATGATTAAGAAAAACAACTGAGTCCCAGCAGTCCAGCCAGATCAAATTCTTTTAATCTTAATGTTGGGAGATGTGTTCACAGGTTTTGAAGTGCATCATAGCTGAAATGAAGCTTGGAAAATAACCCAGTTAGACTAAGATGCTTTCGTTAAATAGCTTGGAGGTGTCAAACCCAAGAAGAGAATCTAAAGTTTAGAAAGGCACATAATTCAGTGAGGGACTCGTTAAGGTCAGGGAACAAGAATAAAGTAGCCCAATTATTATTAGCTGATGTACCTTTCTTGCTAGGATGTTTTGGAGACCAAAGGTGATGATTAATTCCCTGCACCCATTTCTGCCCTCAGCTTCCTGATAGAAAAAACTGTTGATGAGTGGGTATGCACCCAAGGATTTAAAATAGATCTGTTTTTTTAATATATACAAAAGTTTAGATTTGTGATTCATTCTTCTAAGATTTTTTATAAGGTTACCTTTTGAGATAAATAATAAGATGATTTATAGAGGTGGTTGTCTGTGCTTCACCCCTGAAGCACCGCCCCTAGTAGGCAGCAGGTAGCTGCTAGGTACCTGTCCCTGCCCAGGGCGTGGCTGAGACTGAACCTCTTAAGAACAGAAATGCTTACGTGCTCACTCTCTTGGCTATGCAGTGATACTGGATGCTGGATACTGGACTGCAGACAAGTCAGAGTTCTCCAGAGAACCTCGTTGGACTGCACTTCACCTCTCCTGGATCCCTTTGCTTGCTGTAAGTTGATTCAAAATAAACTTTTTTGACTATCAGATAAATTACTTGGAATTGCCTCATTAATTGCCACTATAATGATTAGTCCTTTTTTTGTAACCACAAAATACAGACTACCAGCAAAAGAACTGGCTGAGAAAAATACCTTGCTTGCTCACCCTCTGTTAATCAATAGCAAGTTGTTTGGACATGAATCTATGTGGGTTTGGAGACAACTTGCTTTTTACCTGTAAGATGTAAAATGTTTAATTATGTAAGGGATATGGAAAAATGCTGTTTTTTTTCTTGTATTCATTGTAGTCATTCACTTGAAAAATAGAATGTAAAAATATTTAATCTTTATACTGCTTGAAAGATTTTTCTGAGGTATATAAGCTGTAAGGGAAAAAATAAAGGGAGTTAGATGGGAAACATCCAGAATGAGAGAAGGAAATCACTAGGAAAAATAAAGAGAGAGAATACGGAAGAATAATGAAGAAAATGTCAGAAGGAAACCATCAAGAAAGTATATGAGTGTCTTCCTCTTACCCCCTCAGATAAAAAATGTCTTAGTAAGCCAACTCTGTGGATCCCCTTTGAGCCCTGTGCTGTTGGAGGCTGATCCTCATGGAGGCGGTACCTAGGGCCAGGAACAGGGATACTGAATTGGTAATCAAGAAGACTGTCTGTGGGAGAAAGGCAGCTCTTCTTGGAGATTGTCCAGAACACAACATTCTCCTGGGGATTGTCCAAAAAGAAGATGCATTCCTCTAATGATTGCCCCACATAAAATCTCCCTCATGGTGCTGCAGTCCCTTGGCTAATGACTGCCAAATAAAGAAGGGTTAGTAACCTAGTAGTTCCCTAGTTTCCCTTACATTTTTCCCCTTCTGTTTGTCTTTCCCTCAAGATGGGTCAAGGAGAGTCTAAAGAAAAATAATTCTTCATTGATATTATTAAACATACACTTAAGGAAAAAGAATCGAGACCAGCATTGGTCAACTGACTGATTTTCTTAAGTTTGTACAGTCAGACCCTGGTTTCCAAACTGGGTGACTTTAGATGTAGAAATTTGGGACACAGTAGGGAGAGATATTAAGAACTGGTATACAGAGAAAAAAGGAAAGAAGGAGAGGACATGCCTCTTATAGCATTTTCTATTTGTAGTGTGCTTAGACTAGTCCTCAAGGTGACCATAGCCTACTCTGTAATTCTGTTTCTCCCAGAAATAGAAAACTGTGCTGAGAGATCACATGTTCAGGACTGATAAGGAGTAGTTGATGAATCACCCAGACAGGCTGGGCTAAACTTGTAAAATATTTTATTAGGAGCAACAACATACAGAACACAAAGTCCTTTCTCTTCCACAGTTTCAAGTTTCAAACATCCTCCTGGATTCACTTGAGTCTCTTCCTCTCGGCTCACAGATGAAGGCTGCAAAGGCTGAAGAGGCTTCCATGGGCATGCTAGAGACAGACCTTACTACACCAGACTGCCTGCAAGAGGTAGAAATAGGTATGTATTTTAATGCAACCTGATTCAAACTAAAAGATAGAGAGGAGATAAACCAGGGACCCTCAGAGGAACTGAACTCCCTGCCTGTTAGCCTGTCACAGTGAGTTTCTGTAGAAGTGGAGGTGCATGGAGGCCTCTGTTACATTAATTATTCTAAAAGAAAATATAGTACTCAAATATTTCTGAGCAAGAGAAATGAACAATGAATTAATTACAAAATCCTAAGACATGGTTTTTGCTTGGTTGATTGCTTGCTTGCTTGGTTGGGTTGCGTTTGTTTGTTTAGTTTGTTTTTGGTGTATGTGGCCTATCTTAGGGACCTCCGGGGACAGCTGGCTGAGGATCGTTTAACCAGCATAAGACATGGGCATGTGTAATCATGGGCTTCAGTTTCCCTTTCCATCATTTTCCCCAGTGCTGAGTAAGTTGGTTTACTTTGTCACAAGCTCAGGAATATTTGAGCTGTTACAAAATATACGGTTAACTCACAAAGTTGCTGTAAATACTGACAGGCTTGTATGTAAAGAGGAATTTCCCTAGATCCAGGCCATGAGGTAAAGGTAGTCTCATTATAACAAAATGCTAAACTGTTTTTCAACTAGTTTCCCCTGAATTTTGGCAATATTAAGCACAGTTAATGCATGTATTTACTACATAAACATCATTTTATTTCATATTTTGGCTCATTTTTCTTTTTAAAAATCAAAGTGTGTTTACAGTGTGTGTGCACATGCACTGTAGACCAGGGAAGGTGGACAATTCTTAGGTAGAGAGAGGATGAAAACTCTTCTGCATATGAGGTTTAGACAGTGGGTTTTCATGGTAAGGCTCACACCTCATCCTGTGAATTATAACAGACTCAGAATGGATCACAGACCCAAACATGAAGCTTAGAAATGAAATCTATTTGAAGAAAAAAATGAAAAACATCTTTATTAGTGAAAGCTTATCTCAGGCAAAGATTTCTTGGTTGCAATACCAAAAGCTTTATCTACACACCAGAAAAATAAATGGAATTTAGTGCAATGAACACTCTGCTCTGGTCCCTAAAAAAGGATACAAAGATAAACAATGGACTGTCAGGGTCCCTCCACCCTGCCGTGTGTGTGTGTGTGTGTGTGTGTGTGTGTGTGTGTGTGTGTGTGTGTGTGTCGTATGTCTATCTCTCTGTGTCTCTGTCTGTCTGTCTTTTATTTCTATGAGGCTTGACTGTTATTTTTTATTCTTGTCCCACTGTCCCTGGCTAGGACTCCCAGAGTCACACTAGAATGGTGAGCAGACACTCTTACCTTTTTCTTGGTCTTCTTTATCTGCCCTTATAGCCTCTTGAGATTGATGTTCTGATATTTATATTTTCAGGTAAAAAGCTCCAAGGAAAATGTCTCAGGATCATCTCCCCTGAGTCTCCTGCTAAGCTCTACGGCTGCTATGCAGTGATCGCCGTCCTCACTGCAGCTGTAATTGCACTGACTGTTACACTGTCAGGTGAGTGACTCATCTCCAGATTCTGCAGCATTCTGTCCACATCCACATTGTCACTTAGACTTACTGACCACTGTGAGCCAGGCACTGTGGGAAGGGCTGGGGAGAAAACACACTGGAAATTCCTGTTCTCTGGGAACTTCGGGTCTAGCAGGAAGATGCAGTGAAGGATCAGCACAGGCTGTGGTGTGCACAGGAAGCCAGGCTCAGCATCCCTGGGAAGATGACGTTCAGCAACCTCTAGAGAGATGCAGGAGACATATGTCCTCCTGGGAGAACTATTCAACACAGAGAACAAGGGAGAAAACTTGCAAAGAGACTCTCAAGGAGATTGCTACAGCTAAGGGAAGTGAGAACAGTGAAGAGTAATATGGTTGGAGAAGGTACAGAACCCCACCCCCAGACCCATGGTTTCAGTTAATATCTGCAACCATGTTCTGGAAATATTAAATAGAAAGTTCCAGAATATGTGATTTCTAAGCTTTTAACTGTAGACAGCTGAGGGCTGTAGGAGTATACAGCAGGTAACAACTAGTATTCAACAGTTCGACCTCTCAAACAAAAAATTCTCTGATGGGGAGCCCTACTTGGCAAAGCCGAGGGTCACTGACTGTGAATTTTCTGTCTGTATTTTTTCTCAAATGCCATTTCACTTATTTTGTGTTCATCTCATGTAAGTATTCCATCTTTGGGCACATATATAGCTATGGGTCATCAGGAAGATGATTTCTGCTTAAGCTGTATAATTCTGATGAATAGAAGTAATACTAGGATATTTTTCATAAACTCAGACTAACATAGGAAAATCTCAGCTACAAAGACAGCCTTTTACACATTTTCAAAGACCTTAGAGCAAATCTAAAATAGACTAAGCTGCCCTTGCAGAGATTACTCAAGGGCAAGTTCCCAAGTGTCTGCTAAACCAAAGTCAGGCTGACAACATTAAGATATAACATTCCTGCAGCATTTGGCTTTCTGCACATACACTCAATGATAGAAAGCTCAAGGCTCAGCCAACTAATTGTTTCATTGCTTAGGTCCTGAATTTCAATGTCACTCTCTGTCTGGGAACCCTAACCACTCAGGCTGTGTGCATGGCCAAGTGTTACTCACTGGCCAGTCGGTGTGACCTTCCTGGCCTGAAAGAAACTGTGTGATATATCATGTGTTATGAGGATGAGTTGGACCCTGAAAATGTAACATATAATTGTCCTGAGTTTGGCTGTGAGAGGGGACTGTGTAGAGAGCTGCTGTGTAAAGAGCCTTGCAGAGAAGTGTGTGTGTGTGTGTGTGTGTGTGTGTGTGTGTGTGTGTGTGTGTGTGTGTGTGTGTGTAGTAGACCTGTGTGAGCAAGAAGTGATTTGCCTCCCCCTGCCTCCCAAATACTGGGATTAAAGTCAAGCATCACCACTGCCCAGCATTATTGTCAGATTTCTTAATGATAGCCATCCTAACTGGCTCTAACAAGACCCAGGATATGTTTATGTACATTTAATGTGTGTCTGATAGAATTATAGGATGCCCATGATCAAAATTTTGATACTAAAATACCATTTTGCCCATGGCATGGTTTGCAGGCTAGCATTTCTCGATAGTAAAATCCAGACAAGTAGGGAGTTTTCTTTCTTTAGTCAAGAGAAAAGCAGGATGCAAAAGGAGTATGGGAAAGGAAGCTGTAGAATTCCAGGAATCAGGAACAGTCATAAGGGGCAGATGGCCTAAAAATGATTTCCTCACACGGTATGGTGTCTTTAGTCCAGCACTGAGGAGGCACAGCCAGAAGGATTACTACAAGCTCCAGACAAGTACAGTCCACATAGTGAGTTCCAAGCCAGGGAGGGGACACAGTGAGATTCTATCTCAAAACACAAAATACAAAGAAGAAAGTAAAGCATTTCCTCAGAGCCCACTGGAAAACTCTGGGATAGGGACCATCATGCTAAGAGGGGTCTCCTAGGGATCAGTTATGGAAGTATAGTCCAATCACACACCTCACAACTGAGACTTGGATGAGTAGCCAAAGGAACCAGACATGGAAGTGTGTGTTTATTATATTACATGGTACTGTCTGTATTTTAGTGAAACCATCCATTGAGAGCCCTGGATCTTACTATGCCACCTGCCCAAGAAACTGGATTGGATTTGGAAGTAAATGTTTTTATTTTTCTGAAGACATGAGAAACTGGACATTTAGCCAGACCTCCTGCATGGCGCAAGAGGCCCATCTAGTGCTATTTGAGAGCCTGGAGGAACTGGTAAGAAAGGATCAGGAATTGGTTTGATGTTTGTTCCATTGAGTATGTATTCCCTTGAGAGAGAGATACTAAAGCAGAAGCATGAGGAAGAACCCCACCCCAGGCAGATGGGGCACATGGGGAGCACATTAGTGTGTGCCATTTGCTGGTGTTATTGCTTCTAGCTGGAGCCTTGAGACACTGCAGAGACATGTTCTCATGTAGTGCTCATACTAAAACCTGTAAGGCCAGACAGACTGAGATACCTTGTGGTCATGTAAGTTTTCCTCCAAGCTTTCATATATTGTTTACTGAATGTGGCATCTGTTAAAAATTTCCAGGACATTTTTCATCAGGAACTTTCCAAGCCACAGTGGGAAGGGTGGTCAACAATGTATTTTGGATTATGGATGTAAAGTGCATCCACTGAGGATCACTATGCCTCAAAATTGATGACCCTCAAAAGCTGCCATCCCTAGAGGAAGCTGTGGGACAGAGAGACTCAAGAGTCATCTGAAGCTGAGAGACACATGAATTTGCTTTCCATGTTTTATGACAGAATTTCCTGAAGAGATACAAGGGGAATTCTGACCACTGGATTGGCCTGCACAGAGAGTCACCAGAGCACCCTTGGAGGTGGACAGACAACACCAAATATAACAACTTGTATGTTTTCCGAATACTCTTTTTTTCTACTGTGATCATTTGTTGTGAAGAGTGTGAGTTGTGTCTGTAAGAGATGAATGGCTGTGCCATGTGACAGCAACTGTATTGGAAAGGAAGAAATATAAACCTTCTAAGTGGAAGTGTGGCTCAGAGGTAGAGCGTGTGCTTACATGGAGAGCCAATCCCCAGAAACTCCACATACCTTCAAATTTAAATCTACTGCATGTTCTCCCACTTATTGGCCATCATTTTCAAAGCTTTTACTTAGTGTGATTTAACTCAAAATCTTTAGCATGATCATGGCACCTGGGGTAGATGTTGTTTGCTCCATCACAAGTCAAATTTTTCCTTGATGATAGACACCCTTGTGAGAAGCAGACAGAAGCTAGGATGGGCAGTGAGAGCTCTGGAACCCCAGAAAGCCATTGCAGAACTGCTGGGGTAGGACTTGTCAGACAGCTGTTTGCACAGCTGCACCTGTCACAGAAGCAGAGACTCCAGGAGCATTGGGAGCCTCCTCTAAAGGCTCATCATCAAAGAGCACTGAGACAGCTCTTGGAAGTGAGATAGCTGTTATGAGTAGAACAATAAAACACAGGCCAAGTCACATCCATCATTAAAGACCTTTCAGTAATTTACTAAGAAATGGGTTTTTCCCCATAGTTTTATACATGTGTAAAATGCTTCAAGATAGAACTGAAAATAACCTTCAGTGAAGCCACCCATGTACTGTTGCAGTCCATTTGAACATGATGTCATAAACCAGTCAAACATGACATCAAGCACCTGTCAAACACCTTTACAAGACTCATCATAGACAAATGACAAAGGTATGGTGTTCAACTTGAACCCTGAACATGTAAAAGATTCTAGGCAAGAAACTAGTTCTGGTGTTTGAATGTAATATGGTCTGTGTGAAAATTTTTTTGTTTGTTTTTGCTTTAGGGTTCTCACCCAAGGAGGAGGAGAATGTGCCTACCTGAATGAAAGCGGGATCGGGAGTGCCAGGGACTACACGCATAAGAAGTGGATTTGCAGCAAGTCCAACAGATACACTTTACAGTGCCCAGAAATTTTAAACCCAGGCTAGGGAATGTGCCAAAGCATGCATGAGAAACAGATGCTCTGTGACCTGTTATCTACAGTTGCTGCTCTACTCCTGATCTGCTAAAATCATCAAAATCCATCAATAATTTGGGTTGACACCAAAGATGACAACTCATTTAGAGGATCATAGATACAGGATATTGGAAGAACACAGATGATTCTAAATTAAATAGGTGTTTAGGTATTAGTTAGTATTCTTATCTTAAACCTAAAGTACAATTGTATCTGTATTAATGAGCTCCACTTTTATGACCAGATATGAATTTTTTCATTGGTTGTTGTATTGAATGCATAGAACCTAAAAGTGTGGGTTGACTGAGCCCATGGAAATGATTCAATCATCACAAGAAAGATGATAATTGGTATGTAGTTTCCAAATATTATTGTAAACATGGTCATCATTTTTTTTTACAAAATTCAATGACCAATATGAAATGAGATCTAGACAGAATCACATTCTATGATCTAATACCACTGTCAAAATGTTTTTAAACTTTATCTCTCAGTGTTCATTTTTAATTAAAATAGACTGAGAATTTTATAAGCAAATGTCATTTTAGTTTCCTAATTTAGCTTTTTTGAGAGTTTCATAATGAGAATGTCATTTGAATTTTATTCTTTATTAGGCTCTTTTTAGATCAGGAGACAGTTAATTACTGAACCTCCTTCAAAGCATTTGATGCCTAATCTTGCAATCATTTACACATTTTTAAGTTTTAGGAACAAAATATTTTATTTTTTTTGATCATATGCTATACTGTACTGATGAGTCCCAACAAGGACGAAATAGCAGGTCACAAGCATCTCTTCCATTAACTCTGTCTTCTTACTTTATTGACATATAAATTAAACCTTCTCATGCATGCTAGGCAAACACTGTACTACTGATATTTACCACCATCCCTTTTTATATTTTTTTTCTTGTAACAAGGTTGCTATGTAATCCCTAAATGGCTGGAATTGGAACTATGTATCACCACATAGAACATATCTTTACTCTTTATTGAAGTATTTGTTCAGGCCCCGTTATATGGTTCTGAAGTTAAAGGCACCAGCCACTAAGACTGATAACCTGAGTTCAACACCTGGATCCACATGTTGGAAGCAGAAAACCTTCCACAGTAAGTTTGTCCTATGACCTTCAA